ATAATTTGACCAGTAAAAAAATCCATTAAAAAAATAAAGGGTAAATAGCATAAAAAAACACTCCGTTTACACCAAAATTCTAATTTGACACCGTGTTTTTTTGTCTCAAATTTGACATGTGTTTTCCAATTTGTTACAATTCTGACCACTTGACCGGTTAACCAGGTTACATTCTGACGTGGCATGATGACGTGTCAGTTTTGATGATGTGGCATGCTGACATGATATGCTAACGTGTCAAAATTGAATTTTTTTTCACAAAAAACAATAAGTTTTCATTTTTTTTTTCGATTTTGACACTAAGTTTAATTTTTTCTTTCAATTTTGACACTATGTTTTTTTGTTCCAAATCGAACATCATTTATCAGTTTTTTGTTCAATTTTGACCATTTTCCATTTCAATTAAAAACCATAGTTTTATATAAATACAAGTTTTTTTTTTTTTTTTTTACATTCAAACCATAATTTTATGTATAAATATGTATTAGTTATATAAAAACCGTATTTTATATTAAATACGCAACTTTAAAATGAGTTTGTAGGTTTGGAGGCGTGTCGTCGATTAAAACTCGGATGTCAAGTTTGCAACCCCTGAAATTTTCACATCTTATTAGAAGCTTATGGTTAGTTTGATTCTCATGATATAACTAATGCATATTTATACATTATACTATGAATGTAAAAAAAAAAAAAAAAAAAAAACACCTTGTATTTAAATAAAAATGTGGTTTTAAAACAAAAAAAAATATATTTATACGGTTTAAAATGTAATAAAAAAATATATTTATACGGTTTCAAATGGAAAATGGTCAAAATTGAACAAAATTGGAAAAAATGATGTTCGATTTGAAACAAAAAAACATATTGTCAAAATTAAAAGAAAAAATTAAATTTAGTGTCAAAATCGAAAAAAAGTGAAAACTTAGTGTTTTTTGTGGAAAAAAAATTCAATTTTGACACGTCAGCATATCATGTCAGCATGCCACATCATCAAAACTGACACGTCATCATACCACGTCAGCATGTAACTTGGTTAACCAGTCAAGTGGTCAGAATTGTAACAAATTTGAAAACACAGTGTCAAATTTGAGATAAAAAAAAAACACGGTGTCAAATTAAAATTTTGGTGTAAACAGAGTGTTTTTTATGCTATTTACCCAAAAATAAAACTACAAAATGGGTATTTTTTTTTTTTGAAAATTGAGTAATTTAACCCTTATAAGTCTTCTTCAAATAAAATAACCTAAGTTTTTTTTTTTTTTAAATAATCATTTTGTACGGAACATGACATTCTGAAGATACTTCTGGAATAACAGAGTAAGATTTTGAACAAGCGTTTCAAAATAGTTAATTTTTTTTATTTATGTTTATGTATAATTTGTGTTTTGTGTTTTTTTTTGTTTTCTATAATTTTTGTTTTTTTAAAATGTAAATTGCAAATGTAATCTTAAACTCTACATAAAAAATAATAAATACATAAACTTAAGGGATTTCTTTTAAATAATATTAGTAGTATAATGTTCAAATGGATTTTGTTCTCGTATCCCAAAATATTTTCGCCAATCGTTTACGATATGACATGTCTCATGTATCGCTTTCACCCTCTATCAAATACGATTTACCCGCGATCAACATCTCCAAGAACCAACACAAAAACATCATACAATCCCCTCTACTGTCAATATGTTGTTGTGCGTATAGGCCTTTTTCTAGCGTCGTTTTGAAAATATAAATGGGGACTACATCAGTTGGTACCCCAATACTTGATACTCATTAGGATTTTGTGGATGCGGGTTCACATAGCTATAAACCAAGACTCGTCTTTTGAACAATAGTCGTTCTTCCAGTGACTAACGTATATAGTCATTTTGAATATTTTCAAATCCAAAGCAACCAAAAATCAGTGAGCACTCAACATATTGATAGGGATGTAAAACTACACAAAAGGTTGGAACTAGTTAATCATCAAATAGCATTATATTATAAATTACTATTATTTAGGTAACGTAATCGAACCATGATTATACAGTATCACACTCTGATCAAGCTGGATAAACGGATCCGTCAAATCATGTTACTCCAGTCATATGTATCATTGTTGAATATTGACGGCACGATCGTCCACCGAGCATCGTCTCGTCTACGCTCGATCGACAATGAGATCCACATTATAGCGTGCTACCAATCAAAAAAATTACAGTAAAATAAGTATTGTTATTAGAAGCGTAGTATGTAATGATCACATAATTATATAACTTATATCACATTCCTACTAGCCTGCGTGAGTATCCGCATATAAGTGCGTCCAAAACTCCATCGTCGGAATAACGGTCAAAAAATAGTGACGAAACAACAACGAACTATCTCGTTCTTTATATAGATTGTGTAACGATAGGTTCTAAAAGATTGTCCAACGGTGTTGGCTGTTGTCGTGCAACATCTTTCCTCTTCATTTGTATCAGTGGATATATATATATATATATATATATATATATATATATGTGTGTGTGTGTGTGTATGTGTGTTAATTTAATAAAGATTTTTTTAAATTTACTAGCCTATGTATCAACGATGTCCATGATCGAGCATACATTATTACTAGCATCTTCATGTGTCTATGGATTAGGTTATAACGAAGTAAAAACATAAAAGTTAGTGAATTGATATATATATATAGATATATATATATATATAGATATATATATATATATATATATATATATATATATATTATATCTATATATATATATTCTAAAATTTTAAATCTAGTAATTTTCATATGATAAATACTTTGATATATATTTGTTTCTTGAAAATTAAACGACTTCAGATGAACTACCATTTAAAAAAATAAAAATTCTTTTGCGGTGACTCGGTAGTTGGGGTTGTCCGACGGCGGCGACTCTGTGGTTTGTTCGGAATTTACAAAAAATGCTAAAGATTTGTTCAGAATTAATTTTCTTATAATATTATTTATAAATTATTTTTACAATCAATTATGTTACATTTATGGAAATGGAAAAATAAAAATAAAATGTATTAAGTTTGTGGGTTTACGACTAAAAACAAAGATAAAAAAATTTGATGAAAATTTATTTGGAATTTTATTTTTTATAATATTATTTATATTATTATATTATAATAACTATATTAATGTTATATTTTTTATCTTATTAAAAAATAAGTTTAAAATTATTATTATTATTAAAGTTAGTAATAAAAATATAATTATTAAATAATAAACTCAATAATGATTAGGTTATAATGAAGCAAGAGTATAAATGTTGGTGAAATGATAATGATGAAAAAAAGTAAAGCTATAATAAAATAGCTTATCTTTTAAGTTAATTATAATTTAGTATTTGTTCAGATCATAAAAATAACTTGTAAACTAGTTTTTTATAATTTATTTTGACATTACGTATTAATAGACAAACTTATAAGCTAAAAGTTAGTTTTTTTAGCTAATGCATCAAACACAACACAAAGTTTTTAGTTTTTATTAAATTTTACATCAAAAAGTTTCTCTGGTTATTTTTGTCGAACAGTTTTATACAAATAAAATTTACAACTACTAGCTTCTAGTTTTCAGTTTCCAACTACTAGTCAGGTGTACCAAACATACCCATTTAGTTTTGAACAATGGTTCTATTGATTATTTTTTTTATATCTTTACGATTAATTTAATTTGTTTAGTATGATTTTTTATTAAGATTTTTGTTACGTAATTTTTCATATAAATCTGATTATATCATTGAGACAGTGTTATTTTAATCTAAATAATAATATAAATTTGTCTGGTTGAATAGTAACATTGTTAATTTTTTTAATATATTTTATATCTTTTATAACTAATTCAAGTTGCGTCATTTGATTTTCCATCATAATTTTTTTATTGTATTATGCTTTGTACAAATTCAAATATATAATTTAGATCGTTTTATATTTAAATCGCAAATATAATTTAGTAAAAAAAAATTTAATGTTTGAATTAGCTTATAGTTATTTTAGATGAATAAATTATAAACACTTTTGGAAAGCCAGGAGCCTGTAACATTTTTATAACTTTCTTTTATGATTTTTAAAAATTATTTCTAAAACCACTTATTCATTTATGAAATAATTTTTAGATTTATTGATTTTTTAAAAAAGGTAATAAAATAATAAGTCATTTTCATAAGCAACTCCAAACACCCATAAGACTAAGGGGGTGTTTGGCTTAGCTTTTCACAGCCCAAAAGTCCTTTTTGGAAAAGTTACAAAAAGTCAGGTTTTCCTGACTTTTCCAAAAAGTTCATTTTCCTTGTATCAAAACTCCAAAATAGCTTTTAAAACTAGTTTTGCCAAACATCTTTTGCTTTTTTTTCTTTTCCAAAAAGAACTTTTGGCTGTGAAAAACTAAATCAATCACCCCCTAAGAATAAAAACCTAATAAAATATGACATGACAACTAGTTAAGATGATAAAAACATGTAATTATGTCGGTTAAAAAAGATGAAAACCCGATATAGAAAATAAACAAAAAACATCCTCATGATTTAGGCTTCACCGTTTTTGTGGCATTTTTCTAAATTAAGAGGATCATAGATAAATAAATTCACATGAAAGCTTTATATTTGAATAAAAAATTAATTACATAAAATTTCCATATATTGTGTCGAATTAAACTTCATTTTTATTTTATTTTTCAAAAAAAAAACTTTTTTGTGTAAAAAAAAAAATAAAAAAAAAACTGTAAAAAAAATAATAAAAAAAAATTATAAAGTATTTTTTCAAAAATAAAATAAAATTATGAATTAATATGAAAAATATCAAATATATATAAGGCTTTCATGTAGTTTATCTATCTTATCGAATTTTGTCTTCTTTGGTCCGATGAAATTTGACATTGTTAACTGAATTTTCAAACATTGTAGTCCTTGTAATGGAGAAGGCATCCGTTGTTCATCATCCCCAAATCGACATCAATTTGGCAACCAATCCACTGCTCTCTTACCTTCATGAAAAATTCTTCAAATCCATTCATTAGAAACCCAATTCTTCAAATCCTGCAAACTAAATGCAAAACCCTAGACACATATCAACAAGCTCATGCCCAAATCATCACAACTGGTCTTATCCTTCACACTTACCCCCTTACCCAACTCCTCTCAGCGATCTTATCCTCCACCCTACCCACCTCCTTATCCTACGCACTAACCATCTTCGATCGAGTGCCTAACCCCACCACTTACATTTTCAACACCCTCATCTCGTCAATCCTCACCCATCATAACCACCATGGCCAACGTACCCACTTGGCTTTCTCGCTTTACAATCAAATTCTATGTATACGAACAATCAAACCTAATTCTTACTCATACCCATCTCTTTTCAAGGCATGTGGGTCTAACCCCATTTGGGTCAAACATGGTCGAGCCCTACACACACATGTCTTGAAGTTTCTTGACCCCACCGAGTATGATCAGTTTGTTCAAGCTTCATTGGTTAGTTTTTATTCAAAATGTGGGAAATTTGGTGTTTGTAAGTATCTTTTTGATCAAATTAGTGAACCTGATTTGGGTTTATGGAATTCTATATTATCCGCTTATAATCCCAGTGCTGACGATACTGGTTTGTCAATGGAGGTTCTATGTTTGTTTAGTGATATGCAGAGAGGTTCAAAAATCAAGCCTAATGAAATCAGTTTTGTAGCACTGATCAATGCCTGCGCTGATTTGGGTGCTTTTAGTGAAGGAATTTGGGCACATTTGTATATGGTGAAGAATAATCTGAAGCTTAATCGGTTTGTTGTGACATCTTTGATTGATCTTTATGTGAATTGTGGGTTCTTGGAGTTTGCACGCCACGTGTTCGATGAATTGCCTAAGAAAGACATATTTTGTTATAACACAATGATTAGAGGATTTGCTACTCATGGGTATGGGCATGAAGCGATTGATCTCTTTAATAGATTGTTGTTGGAAGGGTTAGCTCCTGATGATGTTACAATGGTGTTGATAATCTCTGCTTGTTCACATGTGGGGTTGGTGGATGAAGGTTGTGAGTTTTTTTATTCGATGAGGGACAGATATGGGGTCGGGCCAAAGCTTGAACATTATGGGTGCTTGGTTGACCTTTTGGGTCGAGCCGGGCGGGTCAATGAGGCCTTGGAAAAGATCCGGGCTATGCCCATGGAGCCTAATGCGGTTCTATGGAGATCTTTACTAAGTGCAACGAGAAACCATGGGAATTTAGAGATTGGTGAGGTGGCACTTGAGCAGTTGATTAAATTAGAGCCTGAAACTAGTGGGAATTATGTCCTTTTATCCAATGTTTATGCGGATATGAACAAATGGGAAGGTGTTAAACGTGTTAGGAGACTAATGAAAGATAATGGCATTGAGAAAGCACAAGGAATGAGCGTTGTTGATGTATAAAAGAGAGATCATCGTTAGAGATGGAAACATATTTGATTGTTTTTTAGATGAGAGTTGTTGCTTTTTAGATTATGGGTAGAACATTAAAAGGAATATTCACAAAAATGACAACATGAAGTTTGGGAATATGGGGTGATTGACCTAATCTTTTCAAGTTTTACCAAAATAACTATCATTTCGGAAACATGGACATTTTGGACTTATTTCGGATTATCTTATTGTCACATTAGAAGTACATTTTCTGAGCAAAACAAATATATATATATATATATATATATATATATATATAATATATATATATATATATTTTGAAATTTCAAGAAAATGTTTTAAATCCAATGAACAAATCCAAAATTTCGAGAAAATATATCGTTTTTTTTTACTGAAAAATAACAAAAAGATAAGGAAACATAGCAAACTAGACGAATTTCCGCGCGTTGCGCGGCGTAGGTTAAAAATATATTGTTAGAATATACTTTTCAGACACCTTTTAGTTAATTCGATTCATCAATTTATGTTCTTTTATTATTATTATATTTAATGTTTTCCTTTTAACTATGTTAAAAAATATATATTGAATTTTTTTAAAACATTATTTGATATTTTACTTTAGGTTTTAAATTTTACACTAAATTTTTAAGCTTATTTGATATATTAATGTAGGTTATTTATTTAACTATATATTGAAGTTAACAAATTAAGTATATCATGTTGATAAGTCACAAATTCTTTCATTTATGATAATGTTTACAACTAAAAGCATATTTAAGTTAATAAATTAAGCATATTGTATGAAAATATGAAAAGTTTGGAGTTTCAAATGAATGTGGTGAAAGAAAAATGTTTTCTTTATAATATAGTACTAGACGAATTCTCGCGCGTTGCGCAGCGAAGATTAAAAATATATTGTTAAAATATTGAAAAATATATGTTTAAAATGGTTATGTTATTGACATTAACTTTGAGATAATATATATATATATATATATATATATATATATATATATATATATCTCAATTATTTTGAATAATAATATTCATTGACATCAACCCACATTCCTCATTAATAGAATCAAATATAATTATCTATTTAATATTATTTCTAACAATTATTATTATTGATTAATTATATTTTTACTTATGTGATCATTTTCTAATTTCAATAAAGATGTTCATTTAAAATACAATTTATTTATAGCTAAATGTAATTTATAATTTGATGTTATTATCATTTAAAATTGTTATTCATTAATTTTAAACCACTTATTATTAATAATAAGTTAAAGAAGACTTTTAAGAAACACTTAATATTATTATTAAAATGTGAAACATACACTAAATAATAAAGTGATAGGATAGACAATTTGCATTTCAAAAGAGACTTGCATGGATAATATGACATATCCATGTAATTTGATTTTATTATTTATAATTATTGCTTATTAATTTTAAAACCACTTGTTATTATTAATAAGTGAAATAAACTTTTAAAAAGCACTTATTATTATAACTAAAATGTTAAACATATACTAAAATATAAAGTGATAAGATAGACAATTTGCATTTTAAAAAAAGGCTTACATGGATAATATGAATAATATGACATATCCATGATTTTTAATTAATTATTGTTTTGAAGCAACATGAACATACAAACATGTATACAATAGTTAATTAAATATTATATATATCACCTTCCATAACATATGATCGATAACATGAATCTAATCTAATTTACATTAAAATTTCAACCACAACATACAATGATATTCTTTAAAGAATACTTAAATAAAAAAAATACAAAAAAGAATTAGTATATAACAAACTTACAAATTAAAAACTTCAACATAATAACATGGCTCGAAAAATTGTTCAAAGCCCTCAAACCAACACAAAAAACTTTAAACTTGTTTTCTTTGTGAATTTTGTATGTGATTTGTATTTGTGTGTCTACTAAAAAAGATTGACCTTTTTATAGTAGAGTATCCATTAATTGTTTATTAAATATATTATATAAGTAATAAAACCTTTGAATTGTTAATCATTATTAAGAGACTTTTGAGTGGTATTCATTAAAATAAGAGGTTTCAAATGCATGAGGTGTTTGCAAATTTTTATGGGGGTTTCAAATGCATGAGGTTCAAGGAAAAATGCTAGCTTTATAAGTATGTATGATGAGAAGTGGATTAGATACAAGTGCATCTATGATTGGGCCAGTTAAATAAAATTTATAATTTAATATCGCAAAAGTAGTTTACATTTTAGAAAACTCAATCTCGCAATTCACCTACAAGAGTTGCTACACACAAAAAACGAAAATATAATACAGCATTTTTTATAATTAGTAGCAATGAAAGCAAAAATCATCGCAAGACTTATTGTCTTTTTTTAGCTTATTATTTCTATAGTATGGACAAATATAGCGTATACCAAAACATCTTGTTGAATTAACTAACGATATTTCTATATTATAGAACAATATATATATATATATATATATATATATATATATATATATATATATATATATATATATATATTGGCTAATATAATTAGAGTAAGTAAAACAATATAATTTATTTTATCACACAATATCATACTACGTGAATTAAAAAAAAATATCAATGAAACAATGTAATTTATGTTATCACAGTAAGCTATATACCTCAACTCATGATTTATTCTAATTTGAAATAAAAATTATTAAAAAAATAGTTAAAATATATATATATATATATATATATATATATATATATATATATATATATATATATATATTTCGGATATCGGATATCCGAATTATCCGAAAATTCAGAAAATAGTTATCCGTATCCGAATCCGAAAAATCGGATATCCGGATTTCGGATAATTTTCACTTCGGATTTTCGGATACGGATATTTTTGAACACCCCTAAAGAAAATGAAAGTGTTTTCTAATCTAAATTTTCTTAATTTTTTGGATGTGACTTTGGAGAGATTGCCACTTGCAGGAATTTTGTAATTGTGTGTGCAACTGTTGTATGTATGTCTTCAGTTTTTCATTTAGGTTAATTTTGTATTTGTGTTTCCTAACACACGAATAGTTTGAAGTTTGTTCATGGGTCTTAACGAATTCATTCATGTCCTTTTCTATTTAATCTTTGTTTTTCCACTGCTGTTTCAACAAATAGAAATTCATGCACAGAACAGGAGTCACTTGTTGATTTGGGTGTTAGCCACATAGTAGAACGTGTTTGCCTAATATAACTCATGTTGAGCATGTTTTTATGAAATTTGCTTATATGAGATGATGATGTTTACATGTTTAGAAAAGCATCAAGTCACTTATCTGTGTCTATGAGTGACGTGGTCGTGCACTCTTTTTAAGAATTTTTATGGTTTAACACCAAAACTGACAGCTGTAGAAACTAAACTAAGTATGTTGAGATGATACAATAAGAGCATGTATATGTATGTGGAAACCAAAAAAATGGAATGAATTGAATTGTCAGCTATTATCTTTATGTACAATCTGTACTGGAGGAGCAATAAATTTGCTTCCCACTCCCCTTTAAATTCCATTTTATTCATTCTTGTACTTTGTCTTTTTTTTTTTTTTTTTTTTTTTGCTTGATTTATATTGCGAGTGTTCCTTCACTGAGGTTATCGTCAGAAGACGAAGAATCGGAAGGAGAAGATTTAGTAGAAGGTTTTGACATGATCCTTGAGAACCCATAACCAAGAGAACTTCCACTTGTTTCTGACAGCTGTACTCAAGCCAAGCCAATGTACACATGACTTGGTATTTATTCAAATTAAAAAAATTCCAATATTATTTGAGGATGATTGGTTTGGTAGTTAGTTTACCTCAGTAAGCTCTGATAAGTGACGCGATCTAAACTCATTGATAGTAGCTGCTATCTCTGACATCGGCAACTTAGCCTAAGAAAATATAAAAACACAAGCATTTAAAGTATAAACAATTAATGAGTAAAACAGAAATGAATGAAAAAACTATACTTACCTGTGCAAGAACAGCAGATGCTAACTGTAAACTTGGTTCTAAGGTCTCGGGGACAACCTGCAGCAAAAGCAATGTAGTATATGTTTAAGTCACTCTGAAAGTGAAGGAAGGGATAAATAAATAAATAAAAGAGACAGAAAGAGAAATTAGTAAAATTACGGCTGTGGCCCCAGCCTTTTCCAAGTTGAGTCCATGGTCAACATCATGAGCGCGTACAAAAGTCTTGACATTGGGGAAATACTTGCTGAGAGCCCAAACGGTTCTGTAATTTGCACCAGGTGAATCTAAAGTTATAGCTGCAGCACATGCTCTTTCAGCCCCTATTTTATGCAACACCTGAATACGGAAAAATGAGTTTCTAGTTTAGGAAGCTTGTAATTGTTATTGTATGTATTTAAGTTTGCTAATACTCACCTCTCGACTACCCGCATCTCCAAAATACACAGGAAGGTCAAGTGCACGTCCCACTGCTACCCGGTCACTAACATCATATTCATCACAATTCACAATCCTCAGATCAATAATCAATAAATCACTATTTTCATCTCCTCCCTCACTTCACCATATTTTTTTCAGTTTTGCTCCCAAAAGGACTTGCTTTGCAATTTTGGTCCTTATTTTCATGTATGTTTTATTTCATACCAATTTTCGTACTACACTACTCAGCTGTTAAATTATTTGAAATTACTATTTTCCCCTTGGACCCAACTTGAAAAACAAAAAAACACCACAAGGACCAAATTTAAAGTTCTCTTAATTTTATTATTAAATTATTTTCCAGGTTTAATAATAAAATATAGAAAAAATTACAAAATTGTTTGGTTCCTGTGGTATACTGTTTTTTTCCAGGTTTGGTCCTAGGGCAAAATGACCATTAAAAAAAAAACCTAACAGCTGTATAGTTACATTAAACAATCAGCGTTTGAAACATCATAATAATAAGGAGCAAAATTAGACACAGATTCCTTTTGGGACCAAAGTGGAAAACATTTGATAA